CTTATCATTCTCCAGATTGCCAACACCTCCCACACCTCCTGAGACTACCAAGTCCTGGAAACGCTCCCTTATTCATCTTCATCCATTAACGGCGGCCAAACCCTGGTCTCCAACTACGGACGTATGCTCATCTGCTGCACCACTGCCAAGATTGTCGCGCATTTTGTGCAAGGCCAGGTTGATCTGCATGTTCCGCAGTTACCTCCTGTCCCTATCCCAACATCTTTTTCGTCCCCACTATTCCACGGGGACTGTTCTGCCGACCGTGACCAACCGCATCTTTTCCAACGTAAGCCGTGCCCACTTTCTCACTTGTATGCCTCTCCTTCAGGTGGCAAAGTGGCCTCCATTCCCCTTCCCACTATCACGGGAGTCTTACAGGGATCATCCATCGGTCCACTTTTATCCGCGATCTTTGCCAACGAACTCCACCCGCATGAGCCGGACGATCACGTGACCCGGAACACTGACGACACCTAGAGCTATATATGTAATACCAGACACAACCCACCTTTCTTACAGCAACGCATGGAGACAATCCTGTCTTCTCCTCCATGACGGTCCGTGGTCGTGGCATCGAACTTAACGGGAGTGTCCCACCTTTGGGACATATTCCAAAAACATACTCGGTGGAAATGCAGGAAAGAACTTTTAATAATAGCACTGGACAGTGCAACTGAAGCACTATCAGGATACACTAATGATAGAAATTTTGATTATATTATTGTCAAGTTACACTGTCAACGCTTTGTAACCACTACACTTCCTTGGCAGCTGCAGTTGTCGCGAACGCATCAGGGGAACGTCGTCACCAGCTTCTGATTTACCGGATATGATCGGTGGCAAAAACAGACACTTTGTGAGCCCACTGGTGACAAAATTGAGAAAGAGCAAATAAATTATAACAGACCATATTGCAACACACCATCCCAGTTAGACAAAGCTCAAATCTTAGCATTGGTCTGTATTTGCTAACGCTTGCAGCGTGAGCACGTGTAGAACGCGTTTCGCTGTATGAGCAAGTTGAGCCACAAGATGCTGCCAAACAAAGCTTTGATCAAGATAGTCTTTCACAGGTGACAAAAATATACTACAAGCTATACTATGCCAGTGCTGACGTCACAGATCAGTGGTGATACAGTGCTTTCCCAATGCCCCTCAGATCAGTGCTTTTCACGGATTTGGTTCGGACAAGATTCACTTCACATGTTTAACAGTATAAAATGCCGAATAGCTAAGCTTGTTACTAGTCATAGAATCGTGGCTGGCCACAGCAGCTTGCAACGAATATGATCAGACTGCTACGCTGCGTTTTAAATCGTTCTGCCATTTGAAACAGATGTGCTCGAATGCTCGCCACGCGGTAGTGAGTGGGACTCAATGCGAGGCTGCGGGCTGCCGGTGGTTGTTCGTTCGTGTAATGAGAAGCTGTATGGCTTGAAAAACGTAGCCGATCGTCAGTTTTTTAAGGCACTATGCGGCTTTTCTAAGGGTTTTAGATGGTGGTTGTCCCTGGTAATAGTGTTAAAAAGCCCTGCCGATCTAGGAGGCTTTCTGTTTGCATATACCCGCACTGTAGCATGGGAGGTCAACGGGGACGTTTGGGCGACACATGTCAAGGATTCATCCAAGGCTGTCTGCTGCTGAGAGGAACAGCGGCTTTGAGGTAAGATGCCCAGCATCGCTGATGTAGACCTCTCGTTTTCACACTGCCCGCCACTGCTCAGACTTGGCGAAACGACCGTTGGGCAGGCAGGCAGGCGTGAAATAAAACACTTTTAATAGTTATTGTATTGTATATTGAGTAAGAGAGGGTGATGGCGGTGTGCAAAAATATCGTTTGCGTCTCTTGATACCAATATTGCACGGGCTTTACCCTAACTAATTGGGAGAATAGTAGGAAGTGTGAGTTCTGCCTGGTAATGATTATGCGAAGATGGTGAAGGTCGCCAACACATCCAGCTAATTGTGCGATGACTTCACAAAACCAAAGAAGCATTGTTTTCAAGTGCTGGTAAAACTATTTTATCGGTAAATTTAGGGCTCCAGGGATGCAGTTTGCAAAACACGTAGGAGTGTGAGAGTGGGAGAGGTGCAGGAAGAAAAATGGTTGAAAATTCAAATCTTGTCATTCCATGAGCCATGCGGCGATCAAGGCCAATACAAATATAATTGTCGAGTGGTTCATACCTGGCGTTCGTGAGCACGATTTCCGGATATAACGACCGACAGTTGGCTCTGAATTAATGTTATACAAGGTACGATGATGCATTTAGGCCATGACGCATAAAGGAACGTATTTTTTTTAGCAGAAAATTGTGCTGTCTATAGCAGTCTTTTTCACTTCATAAGCGTACCAATAGCGGAAAGTGAGGTTGTTTTATCGTATCTTATGGTTGCTTCAACATCTTCAAATGTCAAACATTCCCTTTAATGCTCTCGAATTCCCGAATAATCCCAATACTCACGAATCTCTTGTAAACTCTTGTTTAGGTCTTAAGAAGAGCAGAACTGTTAACTGCACGGAGTGACTTTCAATATGAATATTTCAGTTCAAAATCCAATAGGAATGTGGAGCACTCGCTTCAAACGCCACTGACTCACTCTTGTTTCTCTATTGACTGCTTCATTTTGCTCAATTGAAACAATTCCGCGTGTATGCTCTCTTGCACGAACGCCTCGAAATAGCGTTACGTTAATGACGGCGCCACCTGACATACATAAATTAGCTGTAATGCAATACTCCTTGACACTGGGAATATCCTAATGAGAGCCATCCGTATTCCATCAATTTGTGGGGAAAACCAGCACAGCTCTGCCAACCGTGCATGGAAAAACCTTGGCAATGAGGAATGTTTGCATGTCTGCAATCGTGCAAGGGAAACCTACCGCTGTTTTATTGCGATAAGGCAAGTTTGTGAGGCGTCAGAATTCGAAGAAGAAGGCCAGAAGGTCTGGATGAGAGCCACCGATGAGAGAGGGACTTGTGAACGCCAGCTTAATTACTGTGTCTCACCGTCGGAATGCGGCAAGTTGTGACCAGTCCCGCGGGCTGTCATCACGCTTCGCTGCATCTCATCATAACTCAAGCCACACTTTGTCAATGGCATTCGGCGCTTGTTTGTCGTCGCTCAACCCTCACCCCAATCAGGTAGTGGGGGATGGGCGCTATCAGAAGCTTTCTAACGTTTTATCCAGAATAGTTTCAGCACGGCTTTGAGCACAATGCGGAAATTTTGGGTGCCAAAAATTACTACGCTTTTTGAGTTGGCGTAATTTTTTACACATCTCTAAAGTTTGAAGTTTTTTACCCCGACCAGTCATGATCTGACTCCGTTCACGAGGTCCTGTCGGCTGTCTCATCAACAGTGGTTCTTTGGCTTGCTGTGATGGCGATGAACACTCAGGTAACATTTTTTAGGGCTAGGGATGTCCTTGGCAGTCTGACATGTGACAGGTCATGACGCCGCCCATGGCCGCACCCATTCTCGAACACCGTTTGCACTCAGGGCAAAATTACCGGAGATCACTGGGAGCTTATGATGAGCCTCACGTGAATGCCTTCCTGGTGCACACAAAATTGATGAAGGGATTGTTTTACATTTGAAGATATTGAGGAAAACACCGAAAATCATGAAACCAGCTCACTGATATGTGTCGGCATATTTTTAAGTGGAAAAGACTGCTCTAGACAACATCATTTCGCTTCTGAGTAAATATGCTCTTGAATACGTCAGTTTTAATGCGCCATGGAGAGTGTGTGATATTGAGATGCTGCGAAACTCGCCATGCGAATCTGCCACCCTGGCACTCGCGTGTAGTAGTTCAGCTCTCCGAGACGTGGCTGTGGCGGTGCCGGAAGTTTTCACTGAGCCAAATGTCGTTCTGTGCTCGTGGTTTGGCCCTTTCCCGTGGTGGTCTTACATGTTTTTCCGTGAGTTTAGGCAGTACGCTTGCACTTGCATACTCGGTTATGACGGTATTCATAGCTCATTCCATTGCCAGCCTTATTTCCTTAATAACTTGCGGTCATGTCAAACTTCTTATGTTGTGTAACACAAAACGAGATTCATGATCGTAACTTGCACAGCTTGCTCAACATTGATTGAGCGCCAATTGACCCCCGCTTTATCTGACAATCGTGCTCACGGACACCATGCCTGAACGGCTCGACGAAAGTATCCCTCTCGGCCATTGAACGCAGCATGGCCTATGGGGGGTAGCAGACTTTGAGTGACGTTTATATGCCGTCGCACATGCCAGAATATCCTTGAAATAGTTGCTCGATGCTGTCTGCACATCTTCGCATGCGTATAGCTAAAAAAGTAAAGGGTTTTAGGCCTTAAGAATGGTGAGCTGTGAACTGCATCGAATTATCTCCACGATGACTATTTTGGTTTAAAACCCCACGCAAATGTGGAATGCTCACGACTGCACAACTCTCCAATGCGAATAAGTTGGTATCTGGGTCTTGGAACTTGGGGACAGCAGCCCAAAAAACACCCTGGTTCAACAATCGGTGGTGCCTTGGCCTGTAACGGCGCAACCTTATAACTTGGTAGAGGGGTAGCCAGCACTTGGAAATGATGTAGAATGCTGGCATAAAGGAAATAACTGATTATCAAGATTAATAAAAATAACGAATTTGTGTTTATAGTGCTTTGGGTTAATGCGTATCAGACTTAATAGGCGCAGCAAACAAATGTGCACACTGCACACATCGTACGCGGCTGTTCCCCAGGCAAGTAGGCCAGCCGTCGTCCCCAGCCGCTCCACCAAAACTCCATCGCCTTATCAACCTGGGAACGACCGTAACCGGCCAACCAGCGGTAATCATAGCACGCCCGCCGCAATCGATTGTTCCCATCGAGTGACCAGCGCCACGCGACCAATCAGCATTGCATTGGACCGGCGCGACTCCAAGAACGGGGCTCGCGTTCCTGGTCGGCGCACGACCGCCCGTCACCATGGCAGCCGGTGCAAACAGAATTCCGCCGGGCCGGCTGAGCGCCCAGCCCGACCGGCCGCGCCTGAGGGAGAGCAGGTCGACACCGTCCGTTCGCTGAAGGTAAATAACGCGACGGGTTTGTGTGTGCGTGTGCCAATGGCTGGCTGGGTGCAGTCTGTCGCTTGACTTGGGCTGTTTGTCGCCATCATGACGTGGCGCGCTCGCCGGAAACGAGACAGATTGATTGCCAGATTGAGCCAGCCAGAGATGATCACGTGCGCGGTGCACGTAATATGCTCAGCATGCTCAGTCTTGTTGGTATGACGTGCTGGCTGAACGTCCCATCACGCCCTAGATTATCCCGTATGCCTTGTCTGGTCGTTCGGTGCTCCACGTCACAAAGTTGCTTGAACTGTCGCCACTGACTTCATGCTGTCACCTAAAGAAACGAGCTTGCATGCACATCCAGCAAACTTTTGGGACCTCAAGGCCGTGTTCAGGCTTAGAATAGAACGCGTCAAGTCGACAAGACCGACGAGACAACCGACCGCCAGCGGCTAGTTCCAGAGCTGTTGCGCTTCCCGGACCTCCTGGGAAGGGCGGGGGGGGGAGGATCTAGGGTATCTCTGATCGTCATTATTTCAACGATGCAGAGTCGTTGATTTCCAATGCCGCTACCCGCGTTTGGGATGTAATTGGCAGCCAAATGCCACCGCAGTAAAAATTATGCAAAAAACATGTTTGATATTGCACCCAGTTACAATAACGCAGACAAAAACGCCCTATGTTCTTTTGGTGAAAGCTTTAGACGATGTAAAACATTATACGGGGCAGCCTCTACGATTTATTCAAAATTGGCTCGTCAGACCATTGATCGATTCACATCAGTCTGGCGGAGGGAACCATATGAACCAATATTATCCAGGGGGCCAAACCCTCAAAAAATATGCATAATGGGATTTTTCGCTCACTTAGAAACACCCGCCGGATCACGTCATATAGAAGCACATCATATAAAAGCACATCACATAGTAGCACAAACATGCCTATCGGAATTTTCACTTACAAACCAACTAATACACTCGGACGACTCAGTGGCTTAAAGGCAGCATGCCACCCTTTTTAGTTTTTTCATAATGCGAGATCAAATGCGAACAATTTGATCACCAATACCAGTTATTTCGAATTCCTGAAAGCTCAGAATTGCAATTTTAAATAGCCGCTCCTGCGGGAGAAATAGCATTTAACTTCATTTTCACCATTATGGGAGCAATACATTTCTTTTGCCTTGCTTTTTAACGTCTGTGTTCTGCAATGTTTGCAACACAATAATTTGTCGAGATGCTTGTGTTATCAATGCTACGAAAGCTTGCAACGCTCTGCTTAGACAAAAAGATAGTGATAGTGACGCACTGGTTCAAACCTCAACCAATGCGGTTCCTCGGTAACGTGACCTTGCCACCCGCTGAGCCAATCGCAAACTTTCAATTGCATTGAACTCATTCAGTAACAGCCGACCACGGCACTCGGCAAATTTTGCCTTCGTCATGACGGCGACGACTGTCATGACGACTGCTGTCGCGACAACTGCAGGGAGGAAGGGTGGTCCTGTTGCCTAGCGTTAACAGCGTGATTTGGTATAAAGAATAAGGTATTTATATATACGTTATATACACGTTATACATACATGTATGTATATATGTTTGCACACATATATATATATATATATATATATATATACATACATATATGCATACATACATATGCATATAGAGAGAGAGAGAGAGAGAGAGAGAGAGAGAGAGAGAGAGAGAGAGAGAGAGAGAGAGAGAGAGAGAGAGAGAGAGAGAGAGAGAGAGAGAGAGAGAGAGAGAGAGAGAGAGAGAGAGAGAGAGAGGAGAGAGAGAGAGAGAGAGAGAGAGAGGAGAGAGGAGAGAGGAGAGAGAGAGAGAGAGGAGAGAGAGAGAGAGAGAGAGAGAGAGAGAGAGAGAGAGAGAGAGAGAGAGAGAGAGAGAGAGAGAGAGAGAGAGAGAGAGAGAGAGAGAGAGAGAGGAGAGAGAGAGAGAGAGAGAGAGAGAGAGAGAGAGAGAGAGAGAGAGAGAGAGAGAGAGAGAGAGAGAGAGAGAGAGAGAGCGAGAGAGAGAGAGAGAGAGAGGAGAGAGAGAGAGAGAGAGAGAGAGAGAGAGAGAAGAGAGAGAGAGAGAGAGAGAGAGAGAGAGAAGAGAGAGAGGAGAGAGAGAGAGAGAGAGAGAGAGAGAGAGAGAGAGAGAAGAGAGAGAGAGAAGAGAGAGAGAATGAGAGAGAGAGAGAGAGAGAGAGAGAGAGAGAGAGAGAGAGAGAGAGAGAGAGAGAGAGAGAGGAGAGAAGAGAAGAGAGAGAGAGAGAGAGAGAGAGAGAGAGAGAGAAGAGAGAGAGAGAGAAGAGAGAGAGAGAGAGAGAGAGAGAGAGAGAGGAGAGAGAGAGAGAGAGAGAGAGAGCAAGAG